AAAAGAAGTGGTGCTGGCTCCTACCCTGGGGGTCTTTAAAAGGAGGCTGGATGAACATCTGGCTGGGGTCATTTGACCCCAGTATTCTTTCCTGCCACAGCAGGGGGTCGGACTAGATGATCTCCTCAGGTCCCTTCCGATACTACCAACTATGAAACTATGAAACTATGTACTCCAGAGGCTGGGAGTCCTAGCAGCTGAGAGGACTCTGAACCATGGGAGTTTGCCACTTGCTAGCACAGGGTGAGCCTGGGATCATGATCCTAGGAACCCCCTGCACCAGCAGTAAGGCCTGATGGGATCTGATGCATGATCTCACAATCATGCCTCCTGCCATACACATGTGGCATGTATTTACGTATTTCATTCAATGACTGGTTAATGTAAAATACAGAATTTGGCCTTAGAATATGGACCCACATCTGAGACAGAGCCCCAGGTGAGTACCTTAACCAGTAGGCCACTGAGTCACACTCATTCTTGCATTTCTTCTCTTTGATCAGTCTTGTATGCTTGCCCTAGATAGTGGCCAGTGGCAGTTTCAAGAGGAGCAGTGGACAGTCACCTTCTTTCCCTGACTCCCATATGCACAACTACCTTGGTAGTGAGATAATTGAAGTTGTTGGTTTAACTCATAGAATGTATTGACTCAGGTTCAAGGTTATCATTGAAAATCATTACTCTGCAGGTGGAAAAAATAATTGACATTAGATGGAAGAGAAAACTGAAATCAGATCTTCCACTTTCTCTGAAAGTGTTCTAACCATTACCCTGTTATCTGGGGAAGGTGGCATTAGCTGTACCTCTTCCTCCTCACTGCACCTGCTGTGTTCTTTCACAGGCATCTATCCTCAGAAAAGGACTCTTCAAGCTGTGGAGCCCAAGTGAACAACAGCACCTAACTCCGGACAAAAGGTACATGCCTAAAAACTGCACCCCACCTTCAGTATTTCCTACTGGTTAACTCTAGATCACTCCCCACTTAAATCATAAGGTTTTTGGATCTCCAGTCTCATGCACTTAACTTTTACCTTACATATAACACAGATTTCTGAATCCCACATCTGAGCCAGGCACCTAAAAACTAGATGATGCAGTGACTAACTTGTAGGCATCCAAGTCCTTTATTAGACCTAACTTTGAAATCATGAAAAACAGAGAAATCAACACAATTTAAAATTGTTACAGTTTAGTATAGCAAATACATAGGTAGATACATAAAACACATGAGATTTCAGATGATGTAATGAGGGAAGTAACTTAAAAACATTAACTGTCCATTTGTTATATTCTTAATGGGAAGTCAGGCCACAACTCAACAGTAGTAAAACAATTTGTAAACCAGTCTTGCAGATGAGTCGGTCTCTACAGAGTGTGGCATTTGGTGTATCTGTGTCATATTTCCCTGCAAGGCCAGGGGAATATAAAATCAAAAGGCTTACCTGAGTATTAAATATATTGCCAAGGTACAACAAGCTGCCTGGATAAAATGCTGTCTTGTTTAATTCATAGAATATATTGACACAAGTTCAAAGTTATAATGGAAAATCATTGCTCTGCAGATGGAAAAAATGATTGACAGTAGACTCTAATGCTCAAGGTTAAACTAGGTACAATAGTTTGCCAGTGCAGGGGACAGAAGTTTTTAGTATAAGCTAAAGAAGTCACTGAAAATATTAAACTGTTCCCTTTCAAAAATGATTGTGAAAAGAGATGACCCATGCCTTTTTCATACCAATCTTTTACCCTTGACTTTCCACTCCAGACTCTTTTAAGGAACGAGTTTATTGTCACCCTGAAGTTACAGCAGGAAGTAATTTTAGAATACTGCATGATTCTAAATATTGCTATTTACTGACATATTCCAGGGCTATGCCTCAGATTTCTCTTTTCTAGAATTCACTGTATTTGAAAGGAGGCACTGGGTGTGCTACTTGACACTCTGAGGTTTCTCAGGATTTTGGTTTCTACCACTGACAGGTAATGTGTTTTCTGCTTTGGGAAAGACACCTTGGATTGCATTTTAGGGCTTGTTTACACTGCAGTACCTTTGCAGCCCTGGTCATGCCAGCAGAGCCCTCTTCTTGGAGATGTATCATCTGCTGGTGGCTGGAGTTTTTCTGCCAGCATACATAGAATTATAGAAAATTAGGGTTGGAAGGGACCTCAAGAGGTAATCTAGTCCAACCCCCTGCTCAAAGCAGGACCAGCCACAACTAGAACATCCCAGCCAAAGCTTTGTCTATCTGGGTTTTGAAAACCTCCAAGGATGGTGCTTCTGCCACCTCTCTGGGTAACCTGTTCCCGTGTTTTACTACCCTCCTAGTGAGAAAATTCTTCCTAATATATATCTTATACTTCCCTTGCTGCAACTTGCGACCTTTGTTCCTTGTTCTGTCATCTGCCACCACAAGAACAGTTTTGCTCTGTCCTTTTTGTAAACCCCCTTCAGGTAGTTGAAGGCTGCTATTAAATCCCCTCTCAGTCTTCTGCAGAATAAATAAACCCAGCCCCCTAACCATTTTCCTTGCCCTCTGCCTGACTCTCTCCAATTTGTCTACATCTCTTCTGTAGTGGGAGGGGGGAAGGGGGGCACTATGCCACCTCCCCATGAGGGAGGCCAGTGAAAACATTTCTCTGTCAGCATATTTAAGTGGATCGGAGCAGCAGTCATCCTCACCACCTTTTCCTTCCTTCCTTGTCTTCTGTGTTTTAAAACGGGGAAAAATGCACCTGCTGACTTCTTTCAAAGTACAGATGTAGATGCCTCTGCTCAGGCAAGGATTCCAGACTGGATGGAGACCTCGAACTTGGGACTGCAGGTGGTTGCCCAAGCACCAGAGGGGTTTGGGACTGAACACACAAATGCCCTTAGCACCTTTACTAGGCTAAACATATAGGCTAAACTGGATATGATTTTTTTTTCGTACTCCTAGCCAACACACCAACCAAACTTTATAGTGTCAACCAAGTCAGATATCAGGGCAGTACCTTCATGTCTACATAAAGTAATATGGCAATTTGTGCTATATTTACTGCTAAGATGGAAAGTAAGAAGTCAGGTTTCTTATAAGTTACAAGCAGAAAAAGAAGCAAGTTTTCCCCTTTCAAAAAAAGGTGGATGGCAGATGAGGGAAGAATGAACTGCTAAAATGAGAGAAAAACATTTTTCCATTTAGGTTTAGTTAATAGTCTGTTAATGCCTGTTGTCACTAATATTATGTCCTAAAAGATAGTACTGCTCCTAAAAGAACAGTAATGCTAAACTGCTGTCATGTTGAAAGAAGTTAATTACTGAACTTAGCAAGTTCTTGAAACAAAGACAGTTACATGCCCAGTAAAAATCAGTTGGTGTGCCAAGCACTTTGACAGACACAATTAAAGGAACAATGAAACTTCTTAGGGTATGTTTTCTTGGCATCATGCAGTGCTGTGCCAATATTGAATCTAGCTCTGGACCACCTAGCTCAAGTATTGGAAGCAGTATAGGCACATGGGTGCAGCACGCTACACAGATGGATGAGCCCTGCTTATCATCACTGTGCCAGATAGATATACCCTTTAACTGGCAGGGACAAGTACAAACAATGAAAGGACTGGCAAGGTACAGGGCAGGTCAGAGCTGGACTGGGGCATTTCCCTGATTGCAGCCATTGGGGATAGTATATTGGTGATGACGCTTGCACATTACAGGTGAAAAGGTAAGGAAAGATAGCAGAATTCTGAGTATGACCTTGAGAAGAAACAGAGACACAGAACTTCTTGGACACTGAGCGTGGTGGAAATGCACACTGGAGGATTTCAGATCGAGGAAACTATTTTTTTTGTTATGGCTCTTTGTACCTTGTACCAAAGAATATTTCTGATTTGTATCATCAATTTCTAATCCTAATAGAAAGAGATTTGCAAATCCCCATGTACTCTATACCTGCTTGACTCAAAGGGGCAATGCTATTTGAGCTGAGCTGCGTAACACCTTGACTACACATTTATTGCAGTTATTTTAATCCCAGTGGACTGTAAAATATATTATAGCCATCTATGAAACATTCCAACCACTATATAAAATAACTACTATTTAAGGGCTGTTTAGGTAAATTGGATTAAATCATTAAAAGACAAAGGGATTAGGACCAGATATTTAAACATATTTAGGTGTTTCTCTGTCTAGGCACTTCATCTTTGAGTGCCTAAATACCTTGAAAAAATCTGGCTCCCGGTCCAATGCACAAAAGTATAAAGAAATGTGAAATAAGAAATAATGTGAAAAGAAATGGAATGGAAAGAAAGGCATCTACCTTTGGGGTAGAGTACAACAGCTATTAAACAGAAACTACTACATATTATATTCATTAAGATAGAAGATATAATTTCAATGCTGAAACCCTAAGCATTCAAAAATCATAAGCCAGACATGTAAAGTCATAATATTGGCAATAAAAATTATAAAAATAACAAATGTGGGATTTTATTTCCTTTTTGGTGCCTTTAAGATTCATGATTTTAGAATTTCATCTTGAACCATGACAGTGAGGGACTTCATTTTTTTTAATGAAAGCAGGGATTTGGGGGTAAGTACAGGTGTCTACCATAAAAACACCAAATATTGCTTAAGAAAAAAATAATGAAATTTGGCAACGTGAGAATTTACTAGACACGTTGGAATTTGGCCAAAATTATAAGGAACAGAATTTCTTTTGCAGAAAGGCACCATGGAGATTTAATGACCTCATTTGATCAGGAACTTGGCAGCAAAGCACAATGCTCCCAACACCAAGGCAATCATTATTTTCTGTTAATAATGTGGGGTTTTTTTTATATAATATCACAACCATATTGCCTGACTAGCTTGTCCTAGAGTACATGCAGTTAGCATTCCAAATTGCTTTCTTTTTACAGTTAGTTCCAAGAAAGCTGCAGGAGTCATGTTTTTCCTCCAAAAAGAAGCAAGAACTCTTAAGTCATCAGTCAATTATTTTCAAAACATCTTGACTTTTATTCCATTTGCCTGTGTTGCTACAGAGTTTTACTGATAGAGATGGGACCAAACCCAAATTCAAACACCTCAAATTTGGGAAAGGTTCGTATCTACACACAAATTACATATCTCAGTCCTATCTCTAATTTTTTACTATGATATTAGTTGACTTCAATCCACAGTTCAATTCACGACTGACAGGGACAACAGTATTTTGTCTACTGTTCCAAATGCTACCCTCTATATTTGTTACTCAGTACTGAACAGTAAATTTTCTAAGCCATTATCCTACTGATAACAGTGTTTAGAGGTTTTCTGTGCCTTACAACAGCTGCTGATTTTTATAATTTCTCTTCCCTGAGCTTGCCAGACATGAAACAGTGTTTATTCTTCTATTTATGCCCCTCTTCTTGTTTTATTAACTCATGGTAGTGCCCTGAACCATCTATGAAAGGAAATTTCTTGCTATCAGAATAGGAACAGTGACAATCATGTTAGTTCAGTACTGTTATCTTGCTCCAAATGCTTCCTTTCATTAGATTGTACACCACGGGGGGATACAAATAAATTCAACCTCTAATAGTTCCTCCTCCACTTCCACTGCATCAAATGTAAACCTAGATGAAATATAGCAGATCTACAAAGCAGATTTAGCAAGAAAGTAGAAGGAAGAATGTAGCAATAGATTCTGTCTTTTCGCTGTAGAATGAGGGTTATCATTACTGTCTCTTTCATGCTGTTTCACAGCATTTTTTAAATTCTCCTTTCCTTGCTTTTTGGAACTCCTGTGTCCTTCCCATCCCTTGCATCTATTATATACACAAAACACTATATTAAAAGAAAATTATTACGTTTGCAAAGTCAAGCAGTAAATTGTTAATAAATGCTAAAGCCAAGGTTGTCTGTGCTGTCTTAATTTGACATTGCTGCGAATATCATATGCAGTTTGATATAAACTTTAATTACATGATCATATACTATTTTTCCCTGCAGGACTGCTGTCTCTACCCGAACCATGATCCACATTCTTCTCACCTAGACAGTTCAAGCTTTCACTCCTCAAGCTTCACATCCAATATCCTTGCCTAAGCAGTCTTGTCTTCCCAACATTTTCCCTGTCCTAGCCCTGCTCACTCACAATCCTTTCCCCCCCTCGCCCAACTCCCATTCTCCTTGTCCAATTTCTGCCTTCCATCTCTACATCAGATCTTGCTCCCTCTATCCTGGTCTTCAGTCACTCCTGTGCTCATACTCTCTGTCCTTACTAGACCCAGTCTCTCTCCTAGATATTCATCCCTCTGCTTCAAAATCTTAGTCTCTCCTACTGCAACTCCTAGTTTCCCTTTCAGCCCCACTAGCCTCCCCCTTCCCAGGAACCTCATACAAGAAGGAAGACAAGCCTGCATACGTGCTAAATGGGGGGACATCTAGTCTGTAGATCTCAGTGGGATTTGGGCTTACTCCTTTTCTCCTGGTTCCAGTACCCTGATCCCTGCAATTGCAGGGAAAATCCTCCTCGGTCCCAGGCTGGAGCACGTTCTGTGTGTAGCATCTCCAAATAGATTTTAGCTGCAAAGGTTTATCAACTCTCTGCTGCTTCTGAAGCTTTTGCGAAGGCTTTAGGCAAATTGAGTATATTTTCATAGTGGGAAGATGGTCAGTGAGTGAGGGGTGGCGTGAAAAAGGTGGCTGCAAACAGAAAATGGTGGGAAGCCCTGGCATCCTGAAGCATGGGGGCCCAGGGCAGGGGGTGGAGGGAAGGGAGGAAGTGAGATGGAGCAGGAGTGAATTGGAGGCTGAGCCCCTGACATAGGCTATGCTGGTTTTCACAAAGGCTTTCGTGGCAACCAACATCTTACTGGAGAAACTCTATCACCCCAAGTTAAGGGGCTACCTGAAACAAAATGTGCTCATGCTGGCAGTTTTCTGTGTGTCAGAAAGCTTTGTCAGGACTATCTCCCTGCAGTGATTGCTTCACACGTAGAATCCACAAATACTGCCTTGGCAAAATATCATTCCTTTTCCATTGTGACTGATGGAGAGACGAACCCTCAGGACACCTACGTGCCACACATTTTATTTGTACTGGGGAGCTAGACCGACCGGGACCTGCCTGTGTTCCAAACTTAGCTGGTCCATCTCACCTCGGTCTATTTTTTCACTGGGTCCCAAGCCATCATGAAGGTAGTTGTCAGCTATGGTGTAGACTTTTACAAGATCTCAGCATTCCTGTCTGGCAACACCACGTACATGTGCAAGGCTTTCTCTGATGTTCTCCAAAGATTGCTGCCCAGTGCTGTTCATGTCACCTCCAATATGCACATTCTGGTATGCACAGTTCCCCAAGATGGATAGCCTGGTGTCTTCCTTCAAGAAAACCTTTAAGCACTATCCAGGTCGTAAGGTCTGGTACAGGGAATCCGTCACCAGTCAAAGTGGGGCTTACATGCCACTGTGCTGCTGCCACCAGAGCCTAGGATCACACAGTGTAATTCCTGGCTCAATGCAATCTGTTACCATGGCAAGCATATGCAGCACTAGCAGCAGTTCATGAGTGAGGAGCTGGAAATCACACCCAGCACACAGTGCATGCTCAAGCTTCGTGATCTCCTAGAGCGAGGCAACATTCACAGTCAAGTGATGTTTGTGGCTGACAATGCCACCTGGTTCATGGAGCTCCTAACATGATTTGAAGGCCAGCAGGTTGTGATCCAGCATGCACACAACAAGGTGATGGACTTGATAAGCTGGGTCGAACGCAGGGCATCACAAGTCAAGCTGCCTTTGTGAAAACCAGCATACAAGGGAGCTCTTCCAGATAATAGCTGCAAAGCTGAACCATTGCTACAAGTACTACCCATCACTTCCACCATAGTTCAGACAGACAGCTGCCTCCTTTCTTAGCGCTATTCACATTTTGGACTCCAACTAGGTGCGTCTGCTGAATGTAACCCTCAACTACTGAAAGCAATCTTGGGATGGGGGAAACTGCATGACAGTGAATGTGCTGCCCATGTGAACTTAGCCAAAGAGTGCCAGATACCTGTGTCTGTGCCTGTGTTCTGGGACTCTGTCTGTGATCTATTTCCACTTCTTTATGCCCTGGCAAAACCAGGCACCATTCCAAAGAAATTGATAGACAGTGTGCATCACTGTGTATGGACAGGTACTCACTCCACAGAATCAGAGAATGTCTCCAGCCACTGTGGCTGCTTGCAACATGCTTGCATTTAATATGTAGCCTGAATTGCCCATCTTAAGGTTAGCATTCAGTTTCAGTAAATTCCTTTTTATAATGTCCTTTAATAAAGTGTATATAATTGGTATTAGTTATAATTCATATAGTGCATAGTACAGTTTTATTTTCATAAAATATTTCAGTTTAGAGTTGGATGAGGTGCTTAGATGGTATTTTTTAATAAAGTGTACATAGTTGGTATTACTTAATTCATGGTGTCCATTGACTTATTTTAATAGGATATTTCATTTTACAGATTGATTAGTTGCTTACACTGCTTAATAATAAAGTGGCAATTAATGGCTTCCCTGGGCTTGATCAGGGGATCAAGCCTGGGAAAGCCATTAACCGGGTCCTAGACTACTTGCTAACATGGCAATCCCCTGATCAAGCCTGAGGAAGGCACTAATTGCCATGGTAGCAAGCAGTCTAGGACCTGGTTAAAGGCTTTCCTAGGCTTGATCCCTTGAAAAAATTGTGCCCAACGCTGTGCCAGGACCACGAAATTGGGAAGCAGCCACCCCAAAATTGGGAGGCAGCAGCCCTGAATTAGATAGGTCCTGACTTATAATGGAAAGTTAATGATAATTATAGTCAGGGCCAGCAGTCCTGATAACGATTCTGAGATTATCATGGTATAAATATGTTACTCGTCTTTCTTTTTATCCCATCTTGCTTTGTACTTCATTTAATTTTGTTGTCATGTTTATTTGTTCTGTTTTATACCTATTCTCTTTTCATCATCTTCCTGCCTCATTCTCTCTGTGAAGACCTTGGTGGTTGTCTTTCTTTGATGTTAGACTGTGTTTCTAATTCTTACTATATCTTGTTTCCGGAAGAATGCCCTTTTTGTAGTTTTTCCTTATTGCTCCTAGGTAAGAGATCATGACATCTTTAATCTTCCAGCATGAAATCCCACTGCACCAGGCTATGCTTAGACACCAGTGAATTTAAAAAGCAAGTTTACTCACCTCATAGTGCAATGCTGTATGCATGAATGACTCATGTCTCCTGAGGCTGGAGGGGACAGTGACCACCCACAGACGGTGGTGGCAGTGTTGGTGGTGGGGGCATGGTGGCAGCAAGTGGGGACCTCCCGCAGGCAGCCGTGATGACATCAGTGGCGAAGGTGGGCTGAGCGTAGACTGTTCTCAGGCAGCCACAGCGATGTCGGCAGCGAGGGGAAGGGGTGGCGACTGGTGAATGACTGCAGATGCCAATCTCGGGGGGCAAGTACCCCACTACGCGTCACCTATGGCTGTATGGCTGCAGACTACGAAGGTGTGATGGAAGAATTTTTTGCCTTTCTTTAAAATTTAGGCCCAGTCTTGCAAGCATTTTTGCATATATTTAATTATTAATTAATATTAGCATCAACTTCAAGAAAAATGCAGAAAGCAAAACAGACCATTGTACAGTGCACTGGCTTCATGGATCTAACCAAAGCATTTGACACCATCAGCAGAGCAGGCCTATTCGCAGTCATAGAAAAGATAGGATACCCACCAATCCTGTTAAATGTTATATGTTCCTTCCACAACATGAAAGCAACTGTTCAGTTTGATGGGTCCACTTCAGACAGCTTCTAGATGAAAAGTAGAGTGAAGCAAGGATGTGTTCTTGCCCCTGTGTTCTTTGAAATCTTCTCCTGAACTGCACATTTAAAGATATAGAAGGTAGAGTGTACCTTCACGAAAGATTGGATAGGAAACTCTTCAATCTGTCATGACTCAAGGCAAAGACTAAAGTTAGAAAGGTGCTTATTAGGGAGTTTCTATTCACTGATGATGCTGCCCTTACAGCTCACGATGAAGACCTACTACTACAAGAGGACCTACTCATGGATCACCTTTCAAGTGCATGTCAGACATTTCTTCTCACTATCAGCATAAACAAAACAGTTGTACTAGGACAGGGAGTTCCACAAGATCCATCAATCACCCTTAATGAGAACCAGCTAGAAGTGGTCCAAAAGTTCAGCTACTTAGGCTCTACAGTGACCACCAACCTCTCACTGGATGAAGAAGTTAATGTTTGCATCGGAAAAGTTGCCACCACTTTCAGCAGACTAAAAGAGCATGGAACAACTCAAAGCTTATCATCAAGACCAAAATGCTAATGTACTCAGCACTCATGTATGGTGGGGAAACATGGACAATTTATGCACATCAAAAGAAAAGGTTAAATAGGTTCCACCTGCACTGTTTACACCATATACTCAACATCAAATGGCAAGATAAAGTTACCAACTCAGACGTTCTTCAAAGGGCAAATTTACCAAGTGTGACAGCCCTACTCAGACAGAGATGACTGTGCTGGCTAGATCATCTAAGTAGCTTGGAAAATGGATACCCAAGGACATGCTATACGGGGAACTATCAGAGGGAACAAGAACAACAGGATGCCCCAAGCTTTGCTACAAAGACATATGTAAGCAAGATATGAAGGCATTTGGAATTGATCCTGGCCAATACAAAACCTTGGCAAGTGATTGAAACAAGTGGTGTCATAGTCTCCACCAGGGCATTAAAGTCAATGACAGGAATTGGTTCCAATAGCTTGAAGAGAAACGAGTCCATAGGAAGCAAGTAGCTCTCGAACCACCCAACCATGACACGTACTGCCACAGATCATGCAAATCTCGAATTGGACTATTCAGTCACATGAGACGCTGCAAACAATCTATGTTGTAGGCTGCAATATCTCTTGCAGATGAAAGGATGCCAATAATAGTATTAGAGTAGCAGAGTGGAATCCTATTTATTCCTAAAAAAACTACTTTGCAATCTCCCTAATTTTATACTTTTTGGGGAGCCTGCAAGATACTCTAGTTCAGAAATATAACTCAACTACAGTATGTCAAGTCCAACTTTCAGCTTTTTACTCATATTCAGCTGGAGAGAACATAACTAGGCCCTCATTGGCAAGGGAACCAGTACAGCCTAGAGCTCCAGCTGGGCTGCTCTATGCTGTGATACTGGTTTGAGGGTTTCTGTAACACAGTAGAGCTCTGATGTGTTTTCTTTTTTGTCTCCCAGCATAGAGCAAATTCCTTTGCCCCACCCAACATATGCGTTACACCGGAGGACAAGAAACACCAACTCTAGGCTTTGACCACGGCTTTACGAGTGCTCGTGGTGCTCGGGTCAGGTGCCAGATGATTGGAAGATAGCCAATGTGGTCCCCATCTTTAAGAAACAGAGGAGGGAGGACCCGGGCAACTATAGGCCCATCAGTCTTACCTCAATCCTGGGGAAACTCTTTGAGAAGATCATCAAGGAGCACATCTGTGATGGGCCAGCATCAGGGATGATGCTCGAGGGCAACCAGCATGGTTTCATTAGGGGCAGGTCACATGAGACCAACCTGATTGCCTTTTATGATCAGGTCACAAAAGCATTGGATGCAGGTGTCACCGTGAATGCAGTCTTTCTGGACTTCAGTAAGGCCTTTGACACTGTCTCCCACCCCATCCTCATTAAAAAACTAGACGACTGCGGCATCGATGCCTACACGGTCAGATGGATTGCTAATTG